CTCCACACGCCTTTACCTACTAAGCCATCTTACGCAAACCAATATACTTGAATAGAAGACCAAGGTTTTTTTGCTTTTGAGACAGTTTTTCCTCTGTATACCTTTAGCTGTCCTGGAACCCCCTCTGTAGACAAGGCTGACCTTGAACTAAGAGGTTGCCTACCTTTGTGTCCTAAGTGCTGGGATTAAAGGTATATACCAGCACTGCCCAGCAAAAACCAAGTAGGTCACTAATGGGGATAAGGTCGTTTCTATTTATTCATGTAAATTGAATTACTGTTTACAGTTTTTTTCATTTTTACTTAACTATAATTGGTTTTGAGTAAACTACAGTTATATTAATAAAATCAAAGCCCAAAAGCTAGATAGACTTAAATGGCTCAACATCTATAATTGCAGCCAATATTTAGCAGTCTTTGAGGCAGGGGATTTTTAAGAATTTGAGACCAACTTAGACTATAGAGTGAGATGCTGTCTCTTTTTAAAAAAAGAAAAGGAAAGATAAATTTAGTTCCAATGCTGTTGTTCTTGCAGGGGAGTTTGCCTGCTTAGCTAAGGAGTTTTAAGAAGGGAATCTAGGTCAGCCGTGTCTGCTGAAGATGTGGGAGTGCATTTCTGTTAAAGCTGCTCATTAATAATACTGTAGCTAGAGACTGCCTGTTCTGAACGAGGCTCCTTAGAGCTGCTTCCGGCTGTGCTGCCCCTCCCTTCTGGAAAGAAAGAAAGAAAGAGCCTAGTAACCACACTTGAATGTGTCTTCTCCAAAGTGTGTGAGAAAAACATACCACTTCTCCCATTTACAACCCATCAGCACACAGTAGAGACACAGGTCCCTGTGTCCATGCCATTTTGATTCATAATAGCCAATCTATGGAATCATCCTAGGTGATCTTTGACAACTGAATAAAGTTAAGCGTGCACATACAATGAGATCATGTTTTCAGGAAATGGGTAGAACTAGAAATCATCATGTAAATAAAATGAAGTAAGTAAATCAGGCCCCACAAATCATTACATGCTTTCTCTAGTGTATTCAGACTCTAGGGAAGACACATAAACATGAAAGTAGTATAGGAGGTATTTGAGAAGAGAGTAGTACAAGAAGTGATAGGATGGATGAATGTGACCAAAGTATGTTGTGAATGTAGAAAATAATGTCACAATGATACCCATTGTTTTTGTGCCAATGATGCTCAGCATGATTTGTTTGCAGGGAGATGCAGATCTAAACAATAAAGTTAAGAGGAAACAAAACAGGAAAAATAATTTACTTTTAAGTGTGTGTGTAATGAGAGGTTCTTTGTCCTGGCTGGTCCTGCTGCCCATCAGCTCCTCATGGACGCTATATTAATTATAAAAGGGTTGGTTGGTGGCTTGGGCTTCTTATTGGTTAGCTCTGTCTTAATTATTAAACCATTTCTATTAATCTATGTATTTCCACATGGTCTTGTCTTACTGGAGGACATGCAGAGGTATCCTTTCTTTCTGGTATCACATGGTGTCTGTTTTTGCCAATCTATCCCAGAATTCTCAGCTCCTAGTCCTACCTTATTGGTCAACAGTTTTATTCATCAGCCAGTAAGACACACACACACACACACACACACACACACACACACACACACACTCACTCACTCACACACAGACACATACGGACTTCCCCCATCATGTGTTGTGTGTATGTGTGTATTATTTGTATGTACATTAGTATAATACTTTGTATCACAGCCAGATATAGTATAGAGCTAAAATAGGATGGGCACTGATGAAGACATGGAAAAAATAAAGCCAATTCTGTATTGCTGTTAGAACTACACAGCTGTGTTTGGCCATTTTACAAAGGTTTCACAGCTCCTAAAAATATTCCACGTGAAATTGTGAGTCCATAGAAATAAAAAGTTGGTGTCAGGGCATAAAGTAGACATGGGCAACAAAAGGTTATAGAATTTCTCTTTGAGAATTTTAAAAAAATGTTCCAAAATTAGATCTAGCACATCTGTCACCATACCAATCCCCCTCAAATCCTACATTTAAAAAGAATGAATTTCACTGATGTGAATTAAACCCCAATAAAGATAGTATTTAAACAATGAAAGGAAGATTGGCTCAGGAGATAAAGGCACTGGCTGCCAGGCTTGTTGATTTGAGTTCAGTACCCAGGACCCATGTAGTATAAGGAGACCAGAGAACAGACTCTTGGAAGTTTTCATCTAACCTCCAACATAAACTCACATTTTCTCACAAATAAATATTTAAATAAATAAACAAAAGGAAACCATCAAACAGTTCCAAATTTCCCATGCCATTGTACATGTTTTTCTTTGCTTTATTTTTTTTCAAGACTGGATTTTTCTTTATACTCTTGGCTGTCCTGGAACACTGTAGTTCTGACTGTCATATAATTCAGAGATCTACCTGCCTCCCAAGTGCTGGGATTAATGGTGTGCCCCACCACTACCTGGTCTATTTTACATTATTAAGGGAACGTTCCCAGGTTTCCCAAACCATTAAAATCTTTTGGTATTGTCAGTCTTAGTGATCACAGCTTTTAACCCTGATTGATTGATTGATTGATTGATACAAGGTTTCACTAGGTAAACCTAGCTGGCCTGGAATTTGACTTGTACTTACACAGATGTGTTTGCCTCTGCCTGCTGAATGCTGGGATTAAGTTTGAGTGTTTGTAAGTGAGTGTAGATGCCCACAGAGGCTGAGGTGTCAGATACGAGCCACTTATTAGGGGTGCTAGGAACCAAATTTGTATCCTCTACAAGGACATCAGCTATTCTCAACCACTGAGTCATCTCTTCAGCGTCACTCTTCCTCTCCCTCCCAGTGCTTGGGATTAAACTTGGGACCTTGTGCACTTTACCATTCAGTTACACCCTAGCTGATTATGGGCATTTTACTATTTAATAGTGTGGCTCCTCATTAACTTTTTAAATTTGTATTTCCCTAAGGGCTAATAATAATGAGCTGCTTCTCTATGTGTAATATCCATTGGGTTTTATTGAAATGTCTATTATTAAATTGAATTATAATTGATTTTAACCTTTTCTGAATGTAAGTCCTTTAATAAAGGTTTATCATCTTCTAAATTGTGTGTTTGTTGTGGCAGTCTCACCAAGTGATATCTGGTCTTCCTGATCCTCCTATCTTTACCTCTTATGTCCTGGAATTATAGTGCTATTCAATTTAAATTTGGATGTTTAATTTGAATGATCTATTCACTGTAGACAGTCCTGTTTTGATGATGCACCAGTATATCTGTACATAATCTGAAGATCACAGATTTCTTCTCTAGTGTTTTACAAGTTTTTAAGATTATAATTCTTGTTTATCTGGGGTCAACTTTTGTAGATGGTGTAATGAAGTATCCAGTTGCTTCTGTGTTCCTTGCTGAAAAACTGTCAGAGGCTGTAGAGATGAATGGCTCAGTAGTTAGAGTAAAGGCTGTTTTTACAGAAATCCTAGGTTTGGTTTCAGTATCCATATGTTGTCTCATAACTGAAGCTCCAAGTATCTGATGCCCTCTTCTGACCATGCATAGACATACTCACAGGCAAAACACTCATACACATTAAGAAAATTTAACAAAAAACAGCCATGTGGGAATGGTGGGCCACACTTGGGACTACAGCATTCAGGAAGTTAAGTTCAAGGTCAAGGCAGTCTACATCTAGGATGTGTGATCTGCCCAGCCAAGGCTACATAGTGAAACTGTTTCCTTAAACTGTTTACTTATGTTGGCATCTTTTGTGAAACCCAATGGATCCTCCCACTTTTTTTTTTTTTTTTTAATTAAATGGGAGACAGGGTCTCACTGTCTAGTTCTTACTCTACTGGAACATGCTATGTAGTTGTTCTCAAACTCAACAGAATCCACCTGCCTCTGCCTTCCAAGTGTTGGGATTAGCCACTTGCAGTGTTGTTGTTTTTCGAGACAGAGTTTCTCTGTATAACAGCCCTGGCTCGCCAGGCACATCTTGTAGACCAGGTTGGCCTTGAACTCACAGAGATCCACCTGCCATTGCCTCCAAGAGTGTTGAGATTCAAAGCTTGTACCAGAACCACCTGATGACATTTGACTTTTTTTTTTTTTTTTTTCTTTTTGCCAATTGACTCTTAACAGGAGTTTTTGCTTTGTTTTTCCTTCTGAGTTTTTTTTTTTTTCCCCCTGTGTAACAGCAGTTGAGTGTTTAATTATTAGCTTCTGTATAGATTATGAAACAAGACAGCTTTTGAAACTTCTGTGATTTCAAATTTTATTCGCTTTGAACATAAGCTTTCTTAAAGATTTATTTATTACGTACAGTGTTCTTTCTGTAGGCAGCAGTTCTCATTACAGATGATTGTGAGCTATCATGTGGTTTTTGGGAATTTAACTCAGGACCTCTGTGAGACCAGCTAGTGTTCTTAACCACTGAACCATCTCTCCAGCCCCAAATCTAAACTTAATTTTAGCCAGAAAGCCCAAAATTCAAGAATTGCTTTGAACTTTTTGATTGTTTTGAGAACTGCCTTTGTTTGTTTAGATTTTATGTATGTCTGGGAGTAAGTGCATATTGCACATGTAGGAATTAGTCAGTAACCTGCAGGAGTTGGTTTCTCCTGTCATGTGGATCCTAGGGATTGAATTTAGGTCATCACTTCGCTGTCTTGCTTGTCCAAGAATTACTGAATACTGAGTCTTTCATTTTTGATCACGGAGTACCTTTCCATTTCCTTCTAGCTTCAAAAAAAAAAAAAAAAAAAAAAAAAAAAAGCATTTTTTTTTCTCCTTTCTGGGCTTGGTAGCCCACACTTCTAGTCTTAATACTCAAAGAAACAGACAAAGCCAGATAACTTCAGGACAGCCAGTGCTATATAATGAGAAATCTGTCCCCAAAACAGGAAACAATTCCCCTCCCCCAAGGTGTTTATTAGATATTAATGTGTTATATTGATCTATCTGTAATGTGTAAATTCTAGTAAGTAATTTGTTTTGTTTTTGTATTAAGGGTCTCCTTCTGACTTCCTTGAAGAAAAAATGGCCTACCAGGAATATCAGAACAGCCAGAACTGGCCAGAAGATTCAAGCTTTTGTTTCCAGCCTCAGCAAGTGTTAGGTACTAACCAGACTGGTAAGTGTGAGCTGTGAGGTAGTAGAAGAGAAGCTAAAGCATTTTGGCTTCAAAATACCTCAGTAAGGCATGGCCAAAGTATTATTTTCCATAAACATTCACTGGGACCTTTATCCTTTGTTTTTTCTTTCTGAGTTTGAAATAAGAGTCTCATACTGTAGTCCTCAGCTTTTCAATGCTAGGATTACAGGGATGGGTCAGCCATAGCTAGTTTTGTACTTTCATCAGAAGCCCTTAATTTCCTATAGTGTTTTTTTTTTTGGGGGGGTGGGGGGGATGAATGGGGAGTGTAAAGATTTATTTATTATGTATGTAGTGTTCTGCCTGCATATATGCATACAGGCCAGTAGAGGGTACCAGGTCTCATTACAGATGGTTGTGAGCTACCATGTGGTTTCTGGGAATGGAACTCAGGACCTCTGGAAGAGCAGTCAGGGGTGCTCTTAACCTCCTAGCCATCTCTTCAGCCCCCCCCCCCCCCAGGTTTTTTGTTTGTTTGTTTGTTTTTTAATCTTTGCAAAACTTCACAGTGCCCTCCACAGATGAAAAATGTTTTGTCACCTTTTGTTCTACAAATAACATTCTAGCTAAGTTTGTTTGGTTTGGTTGTTTTTGTTGTTTGGTTTTGAGACTTTGAAACAGCATGTCATTGTATCAGTCGCGTTGGCTTTGAACTTATAATATTGGATTACAAGCATGTATTTTCATGTCCAACATACATTTTATTATTTGGTTTTTAATTTTTGTTGTTTATATCTTCAGTACTGAAATTATAAGTTTTTTGTTGTTGTTTTTGTGTGGGTGCTGAGGATCTAACTCAGGTGTTCATGCTTTTATGGCCAGGACTTACTGACAAAGCTATTTCCATAACCCCTATTTTCTTTTTGTTCTGTTTGCCTTTTTTAAAAAAAATACCATAAGTATGTCTATTAGCATATTGAAATTTTAGTTTCCTCTATACTTCTTTAGTCCTAAAGTGGAGTATTGGGTGTTCTTTCATGAGGTTTTATGTTGCTGGCTCTCCTAGAAAATTAGAATTTTAAGAGAACAATGGGTATTTTTAGATAATAAGTGAGTTAGTGAATATTTATTGTTCCTTTGTCATGTAGTCATGCTATTTAATTTACTATTGGCAATACAGATGTAACAAATGAATGTTGATTCATAGGAAATACGAAATAACAATCTTTCTAATTGCATTCACTGTGTATGTGTCTTTGACTTTGTTTTCATTCTAGATCCTTTTAAGGTCCACCACGATGATGGTCTGGCAGATCTGCTCTTTGTCTCTAGTGGACCCGCAAATGCTTCAGCATTTATGGAACAAATTGATCCTCTGGGAGACAGTTACGGTATGGCTTCAATTAGATTCATTCATTATGTCAGATCTATCATTTATTCATTGTAAAGAGATCCATATAATAAATGACAATTGATTAAGAGAAAACATACAATAAAAAATTTGAGGTAAGTTCTCTACAAGAAATCAGTTTAGGGTACGTTTGGCTATTTAACCAAGGACAGCCTTGAATTCCTGATTCTCTGATCTCCACCTCCTAGTTAGTAGGCATCACACCTGGACTAATGTGAAATTATGAAAAATGAATTTGTTTGTGTGCTATTACTGGTGCCATAAAACACACACACAGTAGTCATGGAAATAAGAGATCTCATTAAAGCACCGTGTTCCATACCACTTTGAACTGAAAAACAAACAAAACTGAGAGTATAAACGAATACCACTGGGACCTGTTTATGAAGCACTAGAAATCACAGCCAGGTCTTGATGCTTGCTGGGCAGGCAGTCCAGCTGAACCACAGCCCTCCCCATTGATCTTTTAAATATATACAGTGGTGCCAGCATTTATTCCTACTTTAGAGATAAGGTGATTATAAAGAAAATTATGTTAAAAATATAGTATGATATTGTATACATTGTAAACTTTATCAGTAAGCAGTAGTACCCTCTTCTTGTCTGTTGGCATCTTCATGCTTTGGTTGCTCTGAGTATCCTTTGACCACTTTCTTTTCTGTTCCTTTCCTTTGAAGTCAATAATACTCCATTTATTTTTAATGTCTTTCTGTGCTGTCTGGAGTAGGCTCGCGTTCATGATCCTGCAACCCTGCTGGTATCGAGGATTACAGCTGTGTGTCATCATGCTCTCATTTTGTAGATTATGCCTTACATTCTTTTGTGTCTCTTAGCTTTAGTTTAAATCCCATCACTTGTAGATCACCCCATTAGTCTCCTAATCAGTCTTTCTAACCGCAGTCTAAATAGTTCACTTCTACTGCTCATCCTGAATCCCTAAATATTTTATGTTTTTATAGACATTTCTGTTTTATTTTGTTTTGGGGCCCTGTCCTGGAACTAGCTCTGTAGACCAGGCTGGCCGGGAACTCAACAGAGATCTGCCTGCATCTGCCTCCCGAGTTCTGGGATTAAAGGCATGTGCCACCAACACATTCTTTATGAAATTATAAATCTTTTTTGATTTTTCAGGTCATTTCCCTATGGTTTGTATAGTCCTGTTTGTACTGTAGGATATGCCATAGAATATGCCAGACCTACTTGAATAAAATGGATAGCATAGTACAGCAGCTTCTTGACTTGTTGGTGTCTTTGTACTTTAAGAGGACTCTTGGTTTTTGAGACAGGGTTTCTCTGTATAGCCCTGGATTTCCTCGAACTCACTTTGGAAACAAGGCTGGCCTCAAACTCACAGAGATCCACCTGCCTCTTCCTCCAAAATGCTACCACTGCCTAACTGCTAAGAGGGCTCTTAATCCTTAATATTGACTGCCCTCTTTTTCTGCTCCTGCTTCTCTGAAACCTGTGATAATCTAATCCTCCGAATTCTTGTTTTATTTCATTCCCATAGCAGTTAGTTCATACCATACTGTTTATTTGATGTGCACCTGTTTTGCCCCTCTAGCAAAACTGCAATCATCTTCCTGATGTGGTGGTGTATGCCTGTAGCAACACCTGCTGCGGAGGCTTTACAGGAAGATCACTGGAGCTCAGGAGTTTACGGCTAACCTATAAAACAATGAGATTCTGTCTCCTAAAAAATAGAAAGTGTGAAAGAACTTTAATTATTGGTAATAGCTGGAACTATCTGATAATAAATCTTATGTCTGACATAGAGCATAATCCTTGTATTTGTCAACTTGCTAATAATGAATTAAGCATTTTCATAAAGGCAGATTCTAATCTTGTTTTATAGTGAATAAAGGCTCACAGTAATTTGTTATTCACTAGATTGTATTGAAGTTTGTTTTGGTAGTTCTCAGTCTTCAGTATTCTAAATCTTTGTGACATCCAGTAGAAAGTAACCAATAAATATGCATCCCTGGTGCTACTAGGATATAGCGTTACTCTTACCTGGTAACAATTTATCTCAAACCTGGGAAGTGAGGTGGCTCAGGTATTAAGAGCACTTATTTTTGCAAAGGACCAGAGTTTGATGCAACACCCACATGGGGATGCTAGTAACTACACCACCAAATAAGTAAATCTTTAAAACCCATCAATTAACCGAAAGCTGAAGAATGCCAGCAGACCTCCTGTAAAACCTTGAGTTTGTGTTTTCTTGACAACAAACACATCTCTGATGTAAGGTGTCAGATACCTTTCACTGTCCACTGATGACCACAATATAAACTGTGCTTCAATATTAGATATGCTTCCTGGGGATTCATTTCCTCCCGTGGCTGTTGTATCTCAGGAGTGGTCTATGGAAGCCTCAAACTCTCCACACCCAGAGTCCTTCATTTCTCCAGAAGTAGTTATGGAAACCCTACAACCGGCAGCAGGTAAATCATTAAAAGCTATTTGGTTAGTTACTGCACTAGCAATCTCAGAGCCCTCAATTTCCTCAGTATCTATAGCAGGTACAGATAAACAAACTTGTCTCTTCTTCTTTCTTTTGAGACAGGGTCTCTCTATAGAATCCTGCCTGAGTTGGAAGTCACTGTGTGCAACAGGCTGGCCTCAAACTTTTACCGTGATTGATTTATTGTTTATGGTCGATTGATTGATATGTAATTGTTCTTTTAAACATGTACTTTTTCTCTTGGCCATGTCTACTTCACATCTTGTATTCTTAATACATTTGATTGTAGTCAAAAGCTAAGAAATAATGACTTGTCCTTTTTTGTTTTTGTTTTTTGTTTTTTGTTTGTCTTTTTTTCCCAGACGGGGTTTCTCAGTGTAGCTTTGGAGCCTGGAACTAACCATTGTAAATCAGTCTGGTCTCGAACCCACAGAGATCTGCCTGCCTCTGCCTCTCGAGTGTTAGGATTAAAGGTGTGTGCCACCACAGCCTGGCATAGTGACTTATCTTTGTTAGCATCATTTTATTCTTTTAAATGTTGAGTTATCACATCACATGTTAAACTCTGTAGCTTCTTTATATATAAATTTATTTAACTTTATTTTATATGCATTTTTGTGAAGGTATCAGATCCTCCGGAACTAGAGTTGCCAACAGCTGTGAGCTGCCATGTGGGTGCTGGGAATTGAACCCTGGACCTCTGGAAAAGTAGCCTGTGCTCTTAACTTCTGAGCCATCTCTCCAGCCCCAACTCTGCAGCTTCTTAACTAGTATAATCTGATATTCATAAAGTCAAGTATTTCTTGTTCCTTAAGAAAGTAATTTTCACTTGAGGTGTTTTGTTTTGTTTTGTCCCCCCTTCCCCCCCCCCCCCCACTCATAACTTAAAATTTTCTTGGTGTGACTGTTTTGGCTGTTTATGTGTAAGTGTGCCTGGTGCCCACAGAGACCAGAAAAAGGCATCAAATCTTTCCAAACTAGGGTTATAGATGCTTGAGCAAGCATGTGGGTATTGGGAATAGAAAATGAGACTGCAGGAAGAGCAGTCATTGCTCTTAACTGCCTAGCCATCTTCCAGCCCAGAAAGTAATTTCTTTTTGTTTTGGTTCTCTCCCTCCGCGCCCCCCCCCCTCTTTTTGGAGTTTCTCTGTGTAGCCAGAAAGTAATTTTTAAATTCTGGGTATGAATGGTTAATGTTAGGCTATTCTCCCCCCCCCCCCCCCCCCCAAGAGTTTCTCTGTGGCTTTGGAGGCTGTCCTGGAACGAGCTCTGTAGACCAGGCTGTTCTGGAAACTCTCAGAGATCTGCCTACCTCTGCCTCCTGATTGCTGGGATTAAAGGCATTCACCACCAACACCCAGCCTTTTTTTTTTTTTTTTTTTTTTTTTTTTTTTATGTGCTGTGATATTTTGCTTGCATGTATATTTGTGTGATGTTGTTATATCTCCTGGAATTGAATTTGAAGACAGTTGTAAGCTGCCATGTGAGTGATGGGAATTGAACTCAGGTCCTCTGAAGAGCAGCCAGTGCTCTTATCCTTCTCTCCAGCCCTGTTAGGACTGAATTTTTAAACTTAATTTCTTTAGAGCTGTCCAAGGAAATAGAGACGGAATCAACAAAAGAGCAGCTGCCAGCTAACGCTTTGGGAGTGATGGCAGAGGAGACCACTGCTGTGTTGCCACCTCGAGAAACAGATGTATCTCTGTCCACACACATGACACCAGCCACAGAAACAGAAGTGGCATTTGCTAAAGATGCAGAAGAGGCCACCAAACCAGACAGGATATTGTCAGATGTCACAGAGCCATCCATCGAATCAGATATGTTCCTGCCTGAGGACATGGAATTACATGCAGTGACAGAGGAGGCCCCTGTTAAGGATGTCATATTGCCAACAGAAGCGGATTTATCTTTGACCAAGGATATGGCACCTCCCACAGACACTGAAATGGTCCCAGGCAAGGATGTGACACTGCCCAAAGAAACAGAGTTGACACTTCCAATAACAATGGACTCGGTACCACCTGAGGATAGGGTGCTTACCAAAGAAACAGAGTTAGGCCCAGTGAAGGGCATGGTTTCACTCTCAGAAGTGGCACTGGCAAAGGATGCTGAGTTGTCTCCTGAAATACCTACAGCTGAGGAGATGGCACTGCCCTCAGACACCCTGATGGTCTTGACAAAGGATGTAACATTGCCTGTAGAAACAGATGGATCTCTGGTCAAGGACAACAATTCATCTCTGGATAAGGAAATTGCTCCACCTACTGAAACAAAAATTGACATGGTCAGAGATATGGCTCCACTCCCTGAGTCAGAAATGTCTCAGGGCAAAGTGGTCACACTCCCAGAAACAAAGGTGACTGAGTTCAACAGCTCTACCCTGCTTTCAGAAAAAGAGGTAACCTCAGTCAAGGACATATCTCTGCCTCCAGAAACAGAGGCTCCCCTAGGTGAGGATGCTGTTCTGCCCTCGGAAACAGAGTTGACCCTGGACAACAAGGCGACTCCAGCCACAGATGTTGTGCTACCCTCAGAAACAGAAGTAGCAACAATTCAAATTAAGGACCAGGAAAATGCACAGGCTCAAGAAGAACTAAGTGAGGAATTCCAGTTAGAATCTGTCCAGCACAAGGGGCAGTTAGCAGACTCTCCTTGCATGATTCTACCAGGTATGGGCTCCTGCTTTCTCTTAGTATTCTCTGTAAGGGGCAGCTGTCATGCCTGGTAAAATACAACCTCATTCATTGCTTTACAGGTCCACTCATTCCTCCTAACCAGTGTTCTCAACCTCTCTTTCCTCTGCTGGCTAGTCCCATTCTGTGCTCATCCTTGCTTTTCTTCTAGACAAATGAGGCAGTAAGATAGGATCCACAAACCACCATTATTACATCGTCTACATAATGACTTGTATCTATGCACTGTGTCTGCCTTTCTCCTGTTTTATGGGTAAACTGTCCTGTCTTAAATAAAACCAACCCCTTCCTCACTTGACAACAAATCCCATCCCCTTCAATGCTGTTTCCCAGCCATCCTTGTTTTAGTTACTCATTAATTAAATCTTCCTTCCATTTTATCATTCCCTCTGGCTTTTCAAAAGCATTCTTTTTTTGTTTGTTTGTTTGTTTGTTTGTTTTATCTACAGAGGGAAAAAAGTTCTGATAAGATTTCTCATTGTGTAAAGGCAGCAGACATGAAGGCTGACAACCTAAGTTCAATTACTGGGATCTTCATAGTGAATGGAGAGAACCAACTGATAAACTGTTCTCTGAGCTCCAAATATATGCTGTGACATGTGTGTTCCTCTTCCACATAAGATAAATGAAAATTAATTTTTACAAAGGAAAATGGGGAACTATTGACCCTGCCTTCCATCTGCCCCTCCGGTTTTCTAGTTTCTCTTCTTTAGTGCAGGAGAATTCTCTAAAACACATTCTCATCTTCAGTTGAAAATATAGTTGAAATACGATTTCTCTGAAACTTACATGAATTTTACTATTACCTTTAGAACCAGTCAGAGTCGCAGACCAGCAGTCTAACTTGCCAGTAGATGAAGGTTCTCTGTTAGAGAACTTAGAGCAAAAGGAAACATCTGGCAGTCAGCCTTCTGAACTTTCTTCAGGTAAGTTGGGAATTCTTCAACTATTGCAGTTTTAAGTGGTGAGATGATGATGGCTCCTGTGTTGTGTGGTGGTAATTATTAGCAGTACAGTTTATGAAATAAGCTTTCTTCAATACATTCTGCTTTAGGCAGAAGGTGAGCATCTTAAATATTTACTGTTCTGTCAGTTGCAGACTCTAAATTTTGATTCAGTTGAGCTGTTCACTCACTATTCAGGTCTTCAGCTTGTTATTTCAGTCATCTCAATTCACTCAACTTCCTTAATAAGGTAAAAAATTTTAATGTCCTAATGTTTTATAAATATATCTGAAAAAAAGTTCTACACCTCAAGTGATGGTCTTTGATTACCCCATCAAAGCTAGTTTCCTTAGTGTAATGGTTATCACGTTCACCTTACACATGATTACCCCAGCAAGGGTTTGAAAAATGTCTTGGAAAAAAGGCTTTTTGTGGATGAATGCTATGAAGATAGACTACTTAAATGAAACCGTAAATGAATTTTATTTTTTAAAATGTTTACAAGGAATTTGTTGTTTAGAATTTTAGCTAAGTTCATGTATTGCAGGTACCCCTTCCTCACAAGGTAAACAAGTTTGCAGACACAGTGACCGCAGGGCAGCCCGGGCCAGGCCTGCCAGGGTCCCTCCTGAGCTGCTGGAATGTTCTCCTTCATGGAAGACTTTTGATCCCATGCTGGGCCCCTACCCTTTGTCTGAGTTGGGTTTGGTCTCTGGTTCACATTCCTCTGGTGACCATGAGAACCAAAGAAAGAGTACTCATGCTGAATTCCTAGTACCCCAAAGAGATCATGGCAGGGAGGCCAGGGATACAGAAAGCATGCCAGTGATGATGAGGAAAAAGAAGAAGAAACCAAAGCAAAAGAGATATCCTCAGTCCCGAGCTGGGGGACCTTGGGATGACAATGCAGACGAGCCCAAAGATCATTCTGTTGCACCTGGCCCCTTGAAGTCAGGCATTGGCCCCAGCCAGCCTACTCCTGTGGGCACACAACATGGACTTGTATCCAGAAGAGTCTTGAAGTGTGATTGTGCAGAAAGTCACAGCATTACTTCATGTCCAGAACAACCTCCAGAGACTATGGTGAATGCTCAGTTCACGCTGAGAGTAGAGGAAGACCACAGAGGTAACAGCTCAAAGAACCAAGATGAGAACTCGATGCAGCAAGAGGAACACAGGTCCCCAGCTACTTCACACTTGAAGCCTTTAGTGGATACAAGCAAGGCAGTGGGCTCATCCAGTTTGGAAGGACCCCTGATAGACAGTGCTAAACACAAAGCAACAGCTCTCCTAGGGGGTTGTTCCCCCATATTGGGCCAAGAAATTATGAATAGTGTTTCAAAACCCACAACAGAAAAAGTACTAACAAATTTGACCCTCACTTCAACAGCAAATAATCCGTTAGAAGACTGTCTAAAGGAAGGGAATGGTGAAAGTAAAATAACTAAACTGCAGGTGTTGAATGATGGAGTTAAGGATGTTAAAGAACTCAAACCAGAGACATCTCTCAGGCGAGGCGAAGGAGCCAGCCTGTTTGCTTCTAAGGAGCTGAAAGACCCTGAGTTAATTCAGGCTCCTGGGCTGGAGTGTGAGCTGTTTAAGAGAATGATAGGTGACAACAAAAGCAGAAAGGGAAAGGGTCCTGGGAAAGTCAGAACAGGCTCGGGGAAGTTAGGAGCCAAAACTGAGGTGTCACTCCTGTATAGTGAGAAGGAGGGAAGAGCTGATCCTGTGCCAAGGGCACCAGTCCCTGCACCTGAAATAGTGAGTATGGAGGCTTCCAGGAGAGGGCTGGGCTTGGATTCTTCGAAGCAAGCAAAGGCTATTACTGATGTCATAGAAACAGTGGTGAGGGTGGCCAAAGACATGACTGATGCTGGTGTGGGAAGCATCAAGCCACCTTTGGAAACTGGGTCAACCTTGGAGGTTAGGACAGAAAAAAGAGCTGAGGTTAAAAATGTGGGCATTAGTAACCAGAGCAAGGAAGGGAAATGTCCTTGGATGGATCATGAGTCAATTCCCTGGGTTTCTGAAAAAACTAAAAAGAGAGGCAATGGAGGCAGAAACAAAAGGTTTAAAAATAATTATCCTGTACAGCCTACCAAAATGGAGGTCAAGGAAGAAATCATCAACCCACCTTGTGTAGAAAAGGAGAGTGATGATGGTAATGCAGCCCATAAAAACAGGGAATTAGGGCAAACTTCCCCTAAAATACACAATCCTGTGTTCTCACACACATCACACACACCCACAATGGAAGTTGCAGACAAAAAAAGTAAGAATGGTGAGTCTAATTCTGTTGAATTTGGGCCTATTGTGGGGAATAAGACAAATTCAGTTCAAGATTCTACTGTTACTACTGAACCAGCTGCCAAGGTGACTGGTGGAAGATCCCAAGACCCCATCTGGAGGCCAGGATTTGTTCCCTCAGTAGAACCTGAGGAAAACAAGACATGGGTAGCCAAGGGACACACTACAGTGGCGGACAAACCTAATAAAAGGAATGATGATGGGAAATGTAAAAACGTTAAAAATAGTTTTCCTGAGAAGCACATTTTGGAGATTAGGACAGATACAACAAAAATACATACTCCCATGGAAACCACGGGAGACCACAGAATTGAAGAAATGGGGTATATGGATGAAAATAGAAACATTACATTTACCTCTGGGAGAACACCATCAGGGCCAATGAGTAAGTCAGCTCCTCCAGAGGTTATAGGATCATCAGGCTGTGAAACACTGCCCTGCCCTACTCCTCAAGTAGTAAAGAAAGATGATTCCTTCACTGACACTTCTAGAAAAAGCGGGCAAGAGAGATTCCTAGCACAGAACACCAAATTATTAATACAAGATACTTGCAGCAAAGATGGAGTCCCAGGTCAAGAAAGGTCTAAGAGTCCCTCTGTTACTGTGCCCTCTACTAGCACAGAAGTTGTTCTTGGGTCTTCTATAGAAGCCCAAAGAAAGTTTAACAGTCATGGGGATCATTCTCTTGAAAATATAGGTAAACTTTCAGATTGCAGGGAGAATGAAGTAGGGATAATCCCTGAAAGGCATGAGGTAGGAGAATCTGAGTTAGAGCAGTATGGATACTCTAAATATTCAGCACAGCATGCTACAGTGCCTGCTAAAGGACACTTCCTTGCTGGTGTGCCCACAGAAAACCAGAACCTTCCAGAAGAGGTCACAGTCCTAGAAACACATGTAGGTAGTGGTGGTTTGCCAGCATGTCTAGTGAATGAAGGGGAAAAAACTGAGAAAGACTCTGCTCCAGGTCAAAATCCTGACCCTCTGAGAACTAAAGCACAGAAATTCAGTTTGTCTGAGGAGCAAAATGAGAGAGAGAGAGATTTCAAGGACTCAGATAGTTTAGATAAGAAGGTAGATACCATTCTTTTGCCTCCAGAAAATGAAAAGGATAAACTAAAAGAAACTAGTCTGGTTTGTGGAGTCACACAACTGGAATGTGTTGCCACGCTAACAACAGAACAGTCAGATTTCTCATGTGGCAGTACTGAGAGAGAAGGTGAAATGGTGGTGACAGATTACAAGGATTCCCAAGTCCCACAATTCAAAGGTAGCGATATGGAAGCTTCTCAGAAGATGATGGGGATATCTGAACTGAAGGTGCTGAGTGAAAAGAAGAAAGAAGATAAATACGGAATGGCAGAGCCAGTGAAAGGCTACATGAGACCTACAAAGTCTCGAGGATTTTCTCCACATTTGCCAAAGTCTGCAAGGCAGGAAAGAGAGGAATCCAAGCTGCTCAAGTCCAGTGGTATGACCCTGCCATGGGGAAAGTGTGTGTGCTTGGGCTTTTGAGTCATCATCAAAAAAGCAAACGGCTTGTGCCTTAGTTCCATTTAGACTCTAACCATTCTTGTTGATCATTGGTTTGTTGGCATGAAACCCTTTATCTGCTACTTACATGGTCATTTTTTTCAGCCAAGGCATGCCCTGTGTTCAGCTTGAGGAAACTGCCAAACTTGGTTGCATGCCTTTTTAATGTGGCACTGAATCTTGAGTTTTATGGAAAGTTGGTGGAGATCCTCTTTTTTTAAATATTATATATCCTATGTATAAAATAGACAAAGTATCAGTTATTATTTGGTATAAATATTTACAGGGAAGAAATTGTTTGTTGGCTTATTATATGAAACTTCGCTCTTTTTTTATTCTTTTATTTTTAGCTAGTGGAAGGAAGTGTCCAAATTGCTTTCAGTTCAAATGAAAATTGTATGCCTTTATTCAAATAGCTCCAGACTACCATCGGTAGGCACAGCCTTCATGTTTCTAGTAGTGGGAAATGATCTTTTAAGGTATCAGATAGGAGAGGCTGGTTTGATTAGTCTTGCTGTGGTGACTACCATAGGTCAATAGTTGCATGTGGATTGTGTTTATCAAACTGCTTATAAGCTTCACCTATGTTGGTAAAATTCTTATCAATTTTGCCCTTTGGAAATATTTTATTAAGTAATTGGAGTGAAATTAGGATGAATTTTTTTTTTTTTAAAGATTTAGGGATTAATCGTAGGTGCTTGCTGTGTTGCACCCCACCACCCCAGTACACATTTAGTTATGGCTTTCCTGAACATAATGTTTAAAAGATTTCTTTGCTTTTGAAGGATTTTGCAGCCAAGAAACAGTGCTTTCTTAACCAGTTTGCATGATCCGGCTACTAACATGAGAAATTTGAAAACAAAAACCAGTTGCCTAGGCCAAGTAGCCAGTTAGACTTTTGTAGACGATTCATCATGTTGTTGTGTTGTGCACGGTGTGGGCTTGTCCCTTTGGGGAAATATTGTGCTGTGCATGAATAATTGGAATACTTTTGGTGTGAAAAAGGATGCACATGTTATTTTCATCTTTCTGCTTTTATTTTTCTTCTCTTAGCTACTCTATTTAATAAAGTAGAAAATGAAATAAAATAGTGTGTAGAAAGCATTCCAGGGTTCTACCACATTGTTTAGTTTTGGTTT